CCCTTCCCAAAAAACGAATTTGAATTGAGTTGGACATGAACATTTTACTCATGAGCCATTCTGACAACGAACCTATTTCAAGCCAATAGAACTTCGAACGAGCCAAACAAGAACAAATATTAGGCTCACTTAGGCTCTGCTCGTTTACATCCCTACTTGTCACTCCAACAAGCCCAATCCAACCTCAAGCTATACATTAAAGAGTCGAGTTCATTCTCGTATTAATCCTTTCGCTAAAGTTAAAATAACTTAAATTCCAATTTCTACTACGTTTCCCATTCCTATTATTCTACTACTCCCCCTCTTCTCAACCAATGAAAGTGTATTCTTGGTTTGGCTTCACAATAAAAACAACCTAGTTAAATTTGTCCTCACTGCCTTAATATTGACAAAGAACTTAGAGCTAAGAGAAAGGCCAAGGAAAAGAAAAGAAAAATCATTGCAAGCAACATGAAGGAAAAAGGAAAAAAATTAGCCAATCATTTTCTCATAGAAATCAAGGCCTCCACACATGATGCCGAAAAAAGGAACTTAAGTTGGCACCAATAATTCTAAAGCTGAAATTAACATCAAATTTAGCCTAAAACTAGTTGGGCATGAGGTCTCGCAAGTTGCTTTTGACCTTAACCATTATATTTTTTGAATTTGTTTAATGATAAGTTTGAAACTATGTTGAATCAAATTTCACTTGGTGGCAAAAAAGGTAAGCATAACAATTTGGCAGCCAAATTTTTTTATCGCTCGAGGTTAGAAATGATTACTCTACCAAATCCAAAAAAATCAAACTCAATAAACGTCCTAAAAAGGTCACAATTGGTATGAAAAAAGAAAGAATTTGATGAATTTCTTACATAAGCTCTAGCTCTGATGGGCAAAGGCAACTTTAAAATATCCTTTATCAAGATGACTTCCAAGTTCAAACAACTAAACTCTCATTATTGTTATGGTTGGGTATTGGGAATTAACAATTTGTTTAAAATAGCTCTTCTCTAGCCCCGAGAACAGTAGGCCACTTCTATCTTTCTCTAAGAAATCACTAAAAACTTCTCACTACTAAGATATCTTCTAGGCAACTTGAGGATGAAGTAAAGGATACACTATTATACTCTTCAATGATGATGAAGTCCTTGAAAAGCAAATGACTAGGCCAATGTCCTTGATTGTTGATCCAGAGCATATCTAAAAAGCCCATCCATTAGAACTTGAGTAAGAGTCGCCTAAGCCACTACAATTTATAAGTCATTGATCCCTAGCATCTCTCTTTAAACTCTCACAATAATGTTTCTTAATGATTCATCTAATTCATCGCATTTTCAAAAAGGCCTATAAATTCTTCAAGTTCTAGAAACTTACAAATTGAGTAACGAATAGTTTCATAAACTCAGCAAATTTGCTACATTCTATAGTGGGAGGCATAAGAAGCACCTAAGAGGAAATTCCTCGGAAATGGTAAAGAATAAGCAGTACTTCAACTTAGTGCTAATGTCTTGTAAAATTCAAGGTAGAAAATTTTGAACTTCAATGGAGGCCATACCTTAAAAATCTCCTTTGAATGTGGGTTCATTAGTTGAGACGTCCTCATTTCAAATCAACGGGGAGAGGGAGTGGATTCTTTATTGTTATCTGGATAAAAAAGTTTCATCTAATACTAGGATTAAAGTTAATGCTTTTGCGTTCCTTATTTCTTTTTAAGTACTGAATTTGAAAATCCTTATAACAACTCCACAATTAAAGTAATTTTGAACTTCAATGCTCTTGGGTTACTTTTTAGATTTTTTCTTCCACCTTCATCAACTGCTTGTTCGTGATGAAATTCTAATTTATCAATGTTAGAAATCATTCTTCGTTTTGTTTGTATGCCTCTCTCATAGTATTTGATTTATGATTCTCACAAAAAATCCAAAATCACACTTCTGAGAATATTAAATCCAAATTTATCCATAAGCAACACAAGCGCTTCACTCACAATGCTCACACGGCACATAGAACATAAAATAGAAAGAGAAATAATTAAAAGGAATCTAAAGAGAGAGGTTCTTGGAGTAAACTAAGTTGCCAAAAGCACAAGCATTGAATATAAATGACATTGTTGTCTGAAATTCCCTGGAACAACCGATTTATGAGTTCAAATCAAGATTTGAGTACTAGAAAAAGTCACTATTATTATAATAATTATATATATACATACACATACATATAAATATATATAATACATCAAAATCAAAACACATGAAGCAAGTAGCTAAACTATATAAGAGTGCACGAAGTTGCTGACTTATTAGATGAAGTCATCAACTTACTAGAGAAAGTAATTAACTCACTAGATGAAGTCACTGACTCACAAGATGAAGTCGCCAACTTATTTGAATGAGTGTCGGGCAAGTAGACTGTGTGCTTTGGTTAAGTAGGCCTAATTAAACCTTGGAACAAGTGTGATCCAGCGATTTCACTATACGCTTGGTCACTTTACCACAGTCCTAGTGAAGTCATGTTTGTATTGATAAGTTTATTGGCATTATTTCTCCACTTCTACTGAGTTTCCTTAAATCGAATTGGCTTTTATTTAAACCGGGCTCTATGGATATACAAATGTACATCAACCCACTAGAAAATACAAGTGGATATGTAATAAACTCACGATTACCCAGTTTCACATATATAGTCATACACATGAATAAGAATGTATTTAGTTTACACAAGTACAAGTAAATCAAGCAATCGTTCTCAGTTAAGGAAACTAAAGTGATATATTTTACCATTCACATATATTCGTATTTTATACACAAACAAGTAGCAGCTCACTAAAAAAGATGTTACCTGCAATATACAATTAAGAAAGCAATTGTTCCCGATATTCCGCAATCCAGCAACAGTGACCATAAATTTATTGGAAGACTCCTTTCGATCGGATGAACATGGCAACAAATAATATCCATCACGCAGTGACCAGCACAGACCGGCCAGTCCTAATCCTAGTCCTAAGGCAACAGCCAATAGACTCTGAAGTGGGAATGGTAGCGAGGATCTCTTTGACTCGAAGAGTAACTGATACCCATTATTAATGTTGTCCATAAGGTGGTGGATACTCACTTCGCTTCGGTGCTTCATCGAAAAGATGATCAGGTTATCTCCTGAGAATGCGCCAAGAACTCAACTGGCGCCAGCATCGTTAGGATTTAGGAAGACAGAAGACATTAATGTTGTCCATAAGGTGGTGGATACTTACTTCACTTCGGTGCTTCATCGAAAAGATGATCAGGTTATCTCCTGAGAATGCGCCAAGAACTCAACTGCCCCCAGCATCGTTAGGATTTAGGAAGACAGAAGACATCAAAACTAAAGAAGCGACAGGAACCTCGGAGGAGAGAATCAAGAAGACGGCGGTAATTAGGGTTTTTTTTAGCACGGTGACAGGTGATGGTAGTGTTTGTTTGGCTTGATTAAAAATAACTTCTTCAGTAGCTATTACAAATTTTTATTTTTTTAAAAAAAAATCAGATCGCTGTTAGAAAGCTGTCTCTGCATCTAGATAGGTGCAGTGTGAAAACGTTATTTTTAGCATTTTAAAAACGCATAAGCTGTCAAAATGTAGTTTACTCAAACATGTCCAGTGCGTTTTTAAAACGTCACCACATCAAATAAGCTGTCTCAAACAAAGCCTGTAACAGCTATGTGGAAAACCTATTCCTCAAACTAAAAAATATTACATCCGAATAAATTTTAAAAAAATTGATATGTGGGTCCCACTGCCTAAAAAATTAAAAAAATTCTCATTTAGTGTGACGCGGCCCGAATCATTGGAGAAAATATTGCATCACGACTCCGCACGTAAAGTTACGTGCGGAGTACAATGAAATCACGCCACGTGGCGGTGAAAGAAAAAGATAAAATTTGTCCGGAAATACAAGGAAATATTCCTCCCGTGTTATTCAGATGTTAATGTGTGTTATGCATGTGTTATTGTGTGTTCTTCAAGTGTTATTGTGTAATTATAAAACCAAAATATTCTGAGAACATAATAACACTTGAATAACTCATAATAACACCTGAATAACACACAATAACACGGAAGGAATATTCTCATGTGTTACTAAGCCGATTTTTTTTTCTCTGTCACCTCCACGTGGCGTGATTTCATTGGATTCTGCACTTAACTCTACGTGCAGAGTTCTGATGCAATATTTTTTCGAATCATTGGCCACACCACAGACAAAATTTAAAATTTGTGTTTTGCCGCGCAAACCCGATCAGAATCTAGCCCAACAAAATGTCGATCTAGACAAAAAACACATTTATGGTAGATTTCGACATTTTTGTTCTTCTGTGGTTTTCGATTTTCGGCGATTTCAAGTGTTCTTCATTGCTTCCTTTTCGGCGCAAGGAAATAGCTAGGGTTTCTTGGATGATTTCTCCTTCTTTGCTTCTCTTCATAAGGTCGGTTCGCCTTTCTCCTACGTTACACAAAAGACGATTTTGCTTCCTCTTCGGTGCAAGACTTAGTGTTTATAAGTGAGAGCATTGCGTCGAGCTCTGGTTTTCCTTTCCTCTTGCTAGCACATAACAATGGAAGGTCGGAAGAGAACTCAAGAAGCTAGATGTCTGCCAAAACCTTCGAGGTATTATGCTACATTGTTTATTATAAATAAAAGGATGATTTGTTTCATTTTGTTATGGTTGTGTTATTATTATGTTATTTGATATACCAAAATAATGTAATATTTAATGTATACATTTTATTCTTATTTTGATAATATTGCACTTTAAAGAATGGTATTTTCATGTTTTTGTTGCAGGAATATTAATTTTAGGCATTTGAGCAAAAAGTAGCGAAAAGAATGAAATTTGGAGTCAAAATGGAGATTTTCATGATCCTGGCGCCAGAGCAGCCAAAATGACGCCTGAAGCACTATTTTCCAAAGAGCTGGCGCCATAATTTTCATAATCCAGAGAATAGTGCAGACTTCATTAGGTTGGCGCCAGAAGCGCCAAAATTCATATAACAACGCGAACTTCATTAAGCTGAAGCCAGAGGCGCCATAACTGGTGCTAGAAGCGCCAGAGACGAATTAAGATAGAGTAAGGCGATTCGTGACTATTTTTTTAGCAGTTTTGAAGGTTCCAATCAATTCAAACGTCACATGGAGTGGTTCAATGCATCTAGACACTTTGGAAGACTCTTTAATGAAGAGATATGTCTCTTGGATGAAGGGACTTATCTCTTGGTGCAAAAAGGTGTGACTTTTGGGAAAAAAATTGGAGGGAATTTTGAATTTCTTTTGAAAGAAGGCTAGTCCTAATTAAAAAGAGAGAAGATAGAGAAGAAAGGGGGGCGTGTGATAGAGAGAAAAGTTTTGGCGTGAGAGAGATGAGAGGATTTTCTTATAAGGCTGTGATACACCTAAAATATATAGTATTTTTAGACACATTTTTATACATATTTTTGATATATTGCATTTTAATGGAAGATATTTGTGTGTTTTTCTTTCAGCTACAAGTAAAAAGGTAAAAATGATAAATTGAAGTGAAAAAGGATCAAATTTAGAGCAAAAAGGTGAAAATTGTGCTAAAGTGTTTTGGCACCTAAGTGCAAAATCCGACGCTTAAGCACCGGTGAAACAGAAGTGAAGGCCGCGCCTAAGCGTCAGAGGCCCGCGCTTAAGTGTCAGAGGCAGTTATTTGGTGGTTTACTTCATTTTGCCAAATTTTGAAGGGATATTTGAGGCAACTATTGGCTAAAGAGGGTGGTTATGACCACTAGAAACGAAATTATGATAAAAGGACTTATGGAAGGAGGCATCATTTGGAGAATACAATGAATTGGGACACATTTTGAAGAGTTATCAAGGCATCTCTTGGAGATTTATAAAAAAAAGAAGTTGAGACTTTTTGAAGTGTGCTTGAAAGTTCTAAAAAGTGTTAGAAAGGAGAGAGTTTTGGAGAGATTTTCAAGCACCATAAATTTACTATATCTTTTTTTTTATTTTTAGTTTTATTGTGAGATTCAAAGTGTTGTAAAAGAGAAGATATTCAAAGGACCTTCAAGAGTTTGGTGGAGGATTTGAGATAATTTTTTATCTTTTATTTTGAACTACTTTTGGTTTTAATCAAGACTTCTTGTTGGTTTGACAATGATTTCTACTTTTAAACTAAAGTGTGGTTTTGTTTTCTCCATAGATTATAAGTGGTTTTCTTTATCTTTCTCCTTAAAATGATAAATAATTAAAAATGTTGGATGGAAGTTGTGGAGAGTATTGATCTTTAATGTTGGAAGAAGTTGTGATGATTTAAATCCATGTACTTCATTTACTTCTTGATTTGCTCTATCCAAATGTTAAAATTTGTTGTGAGGACATGCAAGAACCGGACTGGTATTCTCTCAGTCTAAATTTTGATCTTCATTTACTTTTCGATCTGATCAATTGAAAGATTAAAATTTGTTGAGAAACATATGATCTGAAAGGGCTATGCCTTCTATAACAAGGTAATAATCACATTCAATTTCATGGGTGAGAATGCAATCCAGGCAGTTGCATGCAAATAAATAAGGAAATATCTTTGATGGGCGTAAAATTGAAGATTTTAAGGTGACATATTAAAATACCCAATTTGGTCCAATTTCTTGGAAACTAAAGCGAGATTGTTAGCTCTTAGGTGAAGGAGAAGTGAGAGCTCTAGAGTGGTAGCCAGTATCCTCTCAACCTAACCACAGATTTGGGGACCAAACTCTGGATTAGTCAATGTTCTTTATGCACTCTCAGAGGGTAAGGAATAGGATTGCTCCTATTTAACACAATAAAATTTTATATGTATTTTAAATGATTTTAATTTCTTCACTTTCCATACTCATTGTAAAGGGGAAGGATGCTTTCTTAAATTTGAACTATTCATTTCAAAACTTTGTTTAGTCTTTATAAGTTTACTTTTGAAGTTTAGCAATTAGTTTAATTAACTTAGTTCTTTTAACTGCATTTCATTTAGCGCACATTAAATTTACTTTAGATTTATTTTGCCTACTTAAGTTCTGTAGTTTGAATGTTATGTTTGACGTTATAACCATAAGAATTTCCAACTCCCTAACTCCCTGTGGGATTGATACTACTTAGGACTCCATTATAACCCTTTATTACTTGAGCGATACATATACTTGCATTATTATTACAGGTTTGGTAGCTTAGAGATTTTAAAGGATAAAATTATTTATACTGAATTTATTTTTACTGGGATTTAACAACATATTTACTATTGGTGCTAACAACTCCGCTCGTGCATTGAGTTTTTGGCGTAGTTGCCAGAGAGTAACAATAAATTACTTTATAATTGAGAACATTTTTTTTTAACTGAAAAACTATTTGTAGCTTAATTAAATACTTTTATATTTTAGTGTGTTTGCTTATTTTTATTGCTTATTGTGTTTGTGTATGCGTAGGTTAAGATCGGTAGGTTTAATACCTTACAATTCGAAGTCAGAAAGAACAATTTAAAAAATTTTAAAACAACAAAAAGAGAGATAATTCGAATGATATGGCTTGCAACTTAAATAACTTAAATAATTATGGAAAAATAATTATGGAAAAGAAAATGAACATCATGAGAGACCTTTAAGAGATTATGTTAATCCTACAGCAGATGAAATTCATTTGAGTATACAAAACCCTGCTATAGCTGTCAATTCCTTTTGAGCATAAACCTACTATTATTCAAATGGTGCAAAATTATTAGTTTTGGGGAACACCGACTGAAGATCCTAACTTACACCTTGCTAGTTTTCTAGAATTGTGTGCTACATTTAAATATGATGGAGTGTTGAATGATGCCGTCAAACTTAGGCTTTTCCTCTTTCACTAAGGGATAAATTTAAGATGTGGTTAAACTCGTTAGCACCTGGATCTATCAGAACTTAGGGAGACTTATCATAAAAAATTTTATCTAAATATTTCTCACCATAAAAAAAACCTGCTAAGCTTAGAAATGATATTACATCTTTTTGTCAGTTTGAGGGGGAATCAATTTATGAAACTTGGGAAAGATTAAGATCTACTTAGGAAGTGTCCACACCATGCTTTGCCAGATTGGCTAATAATTCAAATATTTTATAAGAGATTAATTGGATCTTTTAGATCAATAGTTGATGTTGTTGCTGGTGGATCATTAATGTCAAAACCATTTGATGAAGCGTATTATTTAATTGAAGAGATGACTACTAATAATTTTCAATGATCCTCTGAGAGGGTAAATCCAAAAAGAGTAGCTAGTATTCATGATTCTGATGCAATATTTATGTTGGCTGCTCAAATTGCTACAATATCAAAGAAGATAGATCAATATGGAATTAATTATTCTCAGACACCTCCTGTGCTTGAGAAAAATTCATTTGGACAAATGATAGGATCTCAATCTTCTTATGAGACTTTAAAT